TTGTTTCTTTTTTGAATTATCGAAGAACAAATTTCACGTATTATTTATATCTTTTCATTTTACATATTAATTTGGTGGGGCAAAATCATCAGTCTTCTGATGCCCATTTCTTTAACGCTTTCATAAGGCGACTTCCATACCAATTTTGCAGGTGGGTTCCTTAACTAAATAACAACCAATTGTGTTAATACATATTGTTTGTACGTATGTTTGTATGGACGTTTGTATGTTTGTGCTTACGTTTATTTTAGAACGACGTTCTACTATTTACCTCTTTGACAAACTCATGCCATTATCAGCATTTCATCGCTTGTTGTTGCTCTACATATTTTTTGTTATTGTTATTTTTTAATTAGTCTTGGTTTTTGTTCATACTGCTGGTAGAATTTTTGCTGTTTTGTTTTTATTTTCATAAATAGTATGCCTGTTTTGCCTGATTTCGAAACCAGCTAAGCAATGCAATAAATTCTGCAAAGAACATTGAAAAGATAATAACGAAATACGAGAATACATGAAACCCAAAGAAACCACAGGAAAAATCGATATCATCAACATTAGCTTAAGCTAGAATGACATAGAAAACAATTGTGGCAATACATTCCATACACATTTCAATGCAAAGTCATGTGTGGGCATTGGGGTGGTCCAAAAATGCATGTGAAAAAGTAAAGTCGGAATTTATATGCTCTCACCCCCTTCGGATTGTTCTATACCGAAAAAAGTGTACCCTTATATTTTATTTTGAAATCAAAAAATATTTAGAGGTTGCTCAAAGCGCCCAACGTTTACCATGTATTTTATATGGGGAAAAAATAACTTCGTAGAAATGGTATAGAATTCTTAAAAATCAATATTTTTCTAACGGAAAACCCTGTTTATCTGCAGGGGATTCACAATAATAATAACCAATTGTATTAAAAGTATTAAAAAATGGTTAAATAAACAATTGGGTATTATTATTGAAAGTCTCCTGAAGAGAACCAGAGCTTCCGATAGAAAAATATTGATTTTCAAGAATTCTATACCATTTCTGCGAAAAGTTGTTTTTCCCATATAAAAATATGTACATGGAAAACTTTGAGCGCTTTGAGCGACCTCTAAATATTTTTTGATTTCAAAATAAGAAATAGGGGTATACTTTTTTCGATATAGAACAATCCTAGGGGGTGAGAGCATTACAATTTCGACTTTACTGTTTTTGGACCACCCCATTGGGTATACAATTTTTTTTTACTAAGTTTTATTCTCTTAAAAGTGCACATACACACATACACATGTACATATGATTATAAATACCATGATAAAAATATAGTAAGGTAGAACCGCTGAGAGTCACTTTTAAGATTCTTGACGTTTCCAAACAATTTAATTTTTAAATTTACTCACAAACTCACACACACATTTTCATTTTCAATCTCAAGCAACAACAATTTCGAACAATTTCAATTTTTTATTTTCACTTTTATATGATTTTAAAATGTTGGCAAACTTCAAAAAAAAATCATGGCCGACAAATTGAGAGAACGGTTATACCTTGCTATGTTTTTATCATGATAAATACATATCTATTTCAAGTGTGAAACTTATTAAACCGGCTCGAAAATTATTCATTTACTTCATTGTTAAGCAAAGAATGCTGTTTTTCGCAAAAATCTGTAGACGATTTCCTTTCATGAATCACCATAACTTTATCTCCCTTCAGATTAGCGCTCAAACCGAACTTGATGTAATTCCTTGAATGCGAATTTTAGTCAGACTAAGAGCCTTAACTACTGCTTGATTTGAATTATTCTTCTTCCTCTTATTTGGCACTGTAACCGTCTAAGCGATTTAGTCCGAATTAAAAGAAGTTGTTTCTCTTCGGTGCCCACTGACGCCAATCGGAAATGCCAAGGCTTTACTTGCCTCTCCAGCGGCACCAGCGGGTTCCGAGTTGAATACTTTCAGAGCTGGAGCGTCGGTGTCCATTCGAATGACATGGCCGCTGAATGATTACGTACAAGGAATTCGCTCAATAGGTGATATATTAACTAACCTTAAGATTAGTAATTTTTACCTCAAACAACCAAAAAAAATTAACTGAAATGAAGCAAAATTTTAACATAGTAAAGTTTCTAATGAAAAAAAATTAGCGAATTATATTGAAAATATTTATATATGCTCAAAATGAGTAAACAAAAATTCTGCTTGCAATCATCGACTAAATGGGAGGGCGGTAGGTAGGTAGGTGGTGGTATGAGGAAATTCACTGAAAATTTCTATTGGGGTTGAAATGTCGCGAAATGCGAGCAAGTCATAAATGCACGCGTGCATATTTTTACACATTGTTTTATATAATATATTCGTTCATATGTACATATATTGTGTATAATTATCGACAACAAGTCGCAAAAAAACAAAAACAAAAAGTATGCAAATTTTTTGTCTGAATATTGTATCATGTTTTTTTTTTGTACTTTTGTTTTGCGTATATTTAGTTTGGTTAGCGGTTTGGGTACAATGAGTCATTTCGTATGTGAAATATGAGAGCAAGAATACAAGAGTGTGAGTGAGGCAAATGTAGCAATGCCACTGGAAAAGTTTTAAACAAATTGGAATTGAAAAGCATAAAAAAATATGAGAAAATAAAACGCATTACTAAAAAATTATTTACAAGGAATTAAAAAAACTGAATAAAGTAAAACATAACAAATAAAGTAAACACACATTAAAAATAAAAACCTAAAAAGAAAATAGAAAACTTGAAAATAAAAGAGAAAACTTTAAATTAAGGTACACAATAGAAAAAAAAATAAAATAAATGAAATAAATATAAGAAAAGTAAATAAATGGTATAAAAGTAAATTAAAAAAGGGAAAAATTTAAACACATAAAAATTTAATAAAAATAATAGTAAAAACAAAAGCAAGACATATGTAGTATAAAAAATAAGGATAATATAAAAGAAAAAAAATTATGTTAAGAGTAAAAAATAATAAAAAAATAAATAGAAATAATATAAAAAAATAATATAAAAAGTTAAGAAAAAATATAAGAAAATTAAACAGAAATAATATGAAAAATTTAAATAGAAATAATATGGGTATTCATCTAAAAGCGTAAATGTCTCGTAACCTCGTAAACCTTGTAAATAAACCGGTGCTCCATAAAAAATTAAGTAAGTTTACGGATTGTTTTAGATGAATTGCCCTAATATAAAAAAATAGAAGAAATATGGAAAAATAAATAGAACTAAATAATATACAAATTTAAGGTTAGGTAGGTTAGTTGGAAGCCCCGTCTAACCGGGGCTCATTTAGACAATTAGGAGATTGTTGATACCACATTCTAACGGCACCCAATACTTAATCGACAAAACCCCCGAGCCGATTATGTATTTAGAATTCGGTTAATTTCAATTCCCCAGTGCTCCTCGGGGCTATTAAGGATGTGAGAGTCAAAATACTTTACCTTAGCCTCGCATACTCTGGGCACCTAAGAAGGTAGTGTTGAGGTGATTCACTCTCATCTTTCAGCCCTTGGCTATCAGAATATATGCTCACTTCCTTGACTGTTATGCCCTCCAGAGCAGTGAATCCATCGCCTCCTTGATAGTAGCCACTTCCGCCTGGAATAGACTGCAGAAGTCCGGGAGCCTGAACTTAGTGCTGATGGTAAGCTCTCGACAGAAGACCCCACACCAACCTGCGGTCAAGTCGACGTCCCAATCCTCGCTTGAGGGAAAGTGGCAGAGAGAAGCGCCTAGGATCCATTTCAGTGGCGCAGTAACCTGTGCGATGTTTGGTCACCACCACAACTCCCTTTCAAGGAACAAGCGCTGACCTCAAACTGAGGGAAGAAAAGCGTCGGTGATTTTATACTTTCTAGTGAATAAGACCAGTTTCTTATGGGATTGACGGCAAGCCACTTTTGGCCGCCCAATTAGTAGCTATGTTAAGATACCGTTGGTTCATTTCATAAACGTGTTCAGGTATTTACCTTTAGCTATAAGTGCAACATCGTCTGCGTACCCAATTACCCGACAGACGTGTTTCTCTAGCTCCTCTAGTAGATCGTTCACCACGACGCCCCAGAGCAAGGGTGAGAGGACACCTCCCCTCAGGGTGCGCCTGTTCACCGTGCGATGCAAGCAAGCGCTGCCCCATATGACCATGACAATTCTGTCACTCAGCAGCTTTCGATGAGCCAAATCCGACTGACATCAACCTGAAGCTTATCCAACGACTTAACTATTGCCTCTGTCAGGACATTATCAAAAGCCCCCTCGATATCGAGGAAGGCTCCTACGGCAAAAACTTTGTGATTGAAGGCTTCCTCTATCCACCTCACAATTGTGTGTCGAGCGGTTTCTACCGACCTTCCTTTACAATAAGCATGCTGAGCTCCGGTGTAGGTCAACCAGCCTCTCCAACGTTTTTGGTAGAAACGAAGAGGACTGATTGGCCTGAAGTCCTTGGGCCAACATGAGTCGCAAAGCGGGTTCTGAAAACTAGCGTACATAAGCCAATAGTTCAATGTGCCGGGCTTCGTGCTTTTCATTGATCGAGCCGTGGCCAGGTTAAAGCGGTGCTCTGGTTCTTAAGTCCGTTCATATTCTTTCATTGCACCTACTCATTCATTGCATCTACTTCCTGATTTTCCCGAATACGGTTATACCTGGGGCCTAGTACACTGGAATCTCTTAAACAGTTATTCTGCCATAATTGTAAACCTTTAGCTACAACCCTGATCTGTAGTCATATATTCGATGTTGCCCTTGTGACTCTGTCTAAGATGTGAACTTGAAACTTGTACGTCAGCCTGAGCCTAATAGACGTCGCACTCGTAGGGGGCTTTTTTTTTAACTGCAAATCATTAAAAACTGTCGGTTATAAAATCTCTAAAAATATTTCGTCTCCATTGCGTCCACTTAAATTTTGAGTATCTGTGACTCACAATACTAAATATTCCCTTTTCTATTTACTTGTTCAATATAATTACAATATTTTCTTTACTTGCAGATGGTTTTTCGCCAACAACAATAACGCCAAGCAGAGACTTAACCGCGGTCGCTTCTAAGTCCGGAATTCAAGTAGCAACCGTAACAACAACAACCAAAGTAAGCAAACTAACAGCTAGTCAATACCAATACCAAGAAGAGCAGAACAACTCCATTGTATTCAACAAAAGCATGCAACGGTAATCACTGCCGCTGAGCAACAACAGCAAATGAGTCTGATTATGAAAATGCCAACGGCAACGGCCCCAGCATCTCCCACAGCACCAGCAGCAGCAATTGGAGCAGCTACAATTGTTTCACCAACACCATGCGCTGCCAAACGCAACTCACCAACAAGCAGCAACAATAGCACGCCGACAAAAGAAAAATCTGAAAGAATTCTAGTCGGGGGTCATTACACGCCGCAGCAGCAGCAGAATAGAGAGCGTCGAGAGAGTGGCGGTGATCGCCAAGATTGGGATACTACACACCGAGAATTTGTGTCGCCAACAAAAACAATAGTAACAGGGGCAGCGGTGCCAATACCAAAGCAAAGATCAGCATACTCGCCGATAAAGAATGCTTCTTCAACTGCAGCCAAAGAAACTATTGCTGGCGAGAAGAGCGGCACAACAACCCGTTTAACAGGTAAAACTGTGACCGCAGCGGCAGCTGAAGTGGTGAGCGAGAAGCGGCAGAGCACAGCTGGTGGTGGTGGAATAACCATCGAAGGTAACAACACTACCACCACCGCGCTGTTGCCGACACAGCCGGCAGGGGCTACGGCGGTGGTGATGGTGATGGCGAAGAATGTACGGAAAATGAAACTACAGCACTCAAAGCGGCAGTGTCAGCAGAGAGTGGTGGAACGTATGCAGTGACAAGCAGGCAAATACCATCCACAATACAGGCTGGCTCACCAACTAGAGCGAACATGAGCGCAGTGGCAGTGGCAGCGTCGACGCCTTTATCGCCAACATTGGTCGCCGCACAAGCGACTCAGTCACAGCTATCGCAACAGTTTCATTCGAAGAACGAGCGCGAGTGGACGTACACGGAACAACGCGGCGCGTCATCGGCGGCCGGGAATAATAGTAGTTATATATCTACTGCAAAGAAAGTGCAAACACAAGAAAATACTGCAGCACACGGCTATTAGCAGCAATCACCCCTTACAGCGCCACATCCAGCACGTACTCGCCATCCAATTACGTGACTCCACCGCTGACCAGTAGTACAGCAGCAGCGGCAAAATATTTTCAAAACTTCACAACAATCAGTTCATAAAGAACCAACAGTTGCAACAGGCTGGCGCACAAACGAGTGCTGCAACGCAATCGAATATTACGGCGCGTTATCTGAAATACAAATCATCATCGTACACATCGCATGCGCCGGAATCCGCAGGCGGCAGTGAAACTGGTTCGGGCTACACTGGTTTGCCGGGCACTTACTCGCCAACAAAGTCGTTTGTGGCACCCACGGCAAGCGCCATCAAAAAGAAAATGGTCGCCGTGCAGGAGATGAAGACTACACAGCCGAGTGGCAATCATCCGCATCGCGCACATCACAATCACCACCAACAGCAGCACATCCAACAGATGATTGGTACCGGAGGAGCTGGTGGTGTCGGTGGTGGCGGGACGTGCGCACGTCCAATGGCGCTGACGGGCGGGCGTGCACGCCCACCCAGCCAATCAGAGGAGGTGGAGGTGAACTTCGACCCAGGCGAGGATCTCAGCTATGGACCAGGCATTGTTTCAAAGTTGCGTTGCCGCTACCTCAGCCTCGCCTTTCGCGAATCCATGGAAAAGGAGCGTCACTGTCTCGATAATATGCGCGCGCCACCAGTCTGAACAATTTACTCGATCGCGACGATCCAGCCGATGAGGATGATGAGCCAGAAGATGACCTTGGATGGCGGCGAAGCAATAGATTTGGAAGTGCGTGAAGAGGACGAATATGTTGAGCTGCGCGCGGATGCAGACAAAACGATGGCCGCTGAGCGCAAGCTAAAAACACAGGGTGGCATACTGAAGCACAACAACGACGCCGCTGCTGGCGCGCAGGAGAACACCAAAAAGACTACAACATTTCAAAAGCATGCAGCGGGCACTTTTGCCGCGAACGGTTCTCGTTTGCCGCACTCGGCACCGGCAGGCGGTGCAGGCATTGCGACAAATGCCACCAATGTCGGTACGCCCGATACACCGCGTTCGCGTCATGTAAAACGCGGAAATGATTCGTTAAAACGCGCGCGTTCCGTCGAAGCGCTACTCTGCGAACGCACGCCCTGGCAATACGCGGCGCTCAATCGCAGCAGCTATCAGCCACAACGTTTTGCGGCCACTGGCAATGCAAATTACGCGCTGTCGCAGCCGACTTGCGTCACCATCGAGGATAAGATAAATAACGGACGTAGTCGCCTGCTACTCGGCACAGATGTTATGCCACCGAAGCGCTTGACCTCAGTCATCGATGATACGGAACGACCGCCACCCGATTTGGTCAAGCAAACGCTGAAGAAGTTCGAAGCCACTGCTAATAGGCGTGGACGCGGCCCGAGTCGCACGAACGGAACCGGCGAGGTCGCCAGCAAGGTGGCCACCTACAAGACTATCATTAAGGAGAATAAGCCTGCTATTATGTTTCCCAAACCACCGATCAGCCCCACTAAGAAGCTGAATGCGCCAGTGCTCACGAAGCCGGCAGCCAAGCCAGTAGTGGGCGCCGCTGATTTGCTCAATAGCCCGCTAGGGCGCAAGACCACTGCCGTCGCAGGCGTCAACACTGCGGCTGGAAAAACGTCGCCGGCGACCTCCAATGCCGCCGCGGTTACCGGTGTGCTGTCTGCTAGTAGTAGCAATAGCAGCGCAGTCGGCGTTGGCGGCTTATCAGAGCACTCGCCCGATATCATTCCAAGGCATAAGCTTTTAACGGAAAAGAGCGAATTATTGGCGCACGGAGTTGTCGATTCGCCAGTGACAGCTTTAACAAAAAAGCTCGAAAAGCTGCGAATTGAAACGTCGGTGGATAAACCAAAACAAGCAATAACAACAAAGGAAACTAAACAGCCAACACAGTTGAATAAGCAACAGCAGGCACACTCGGCACTCGAGCCAACCAACAGCGACAACGAATTCGTCAATAATAGCGAGTTGAACAACGACGACAACAACACAAGCAACAGCTATAGCAACAAGCTCGTGGGTGGTGGCGCTGTTGGCGAGGGTGAAGCGGCTGGCGATAGTGACGCGGCCCTCGAAGGCAACGAAAATAGCAACAGCAACTACAACAAGGCGAAACAGCATAATGATCGTGCTGGTACTAGCGCAGCTAGCAGTATTGGTATTGGTAGCGTCAGCGGCGTTAACGAGTCAGTCGTAGAACCCGATTCGGTGCTGGCAGGAACCGCCGCAAGTAGTAGTGATCTTAGCGACGACGACGACGGACTGGTTGATCGTAGTATTGCCGCCGCCGCCGCACCCACAAAACGTATAACGCGCACAGCACTCGATAATATCGCACGCGCGGGCACCACACAACAATTCAAATTCGCTGGCAGCAGTGGACAAACGCAGCAAAAAACGCAAACGAAACAACAACAACTAAACTCTTCCAATTTGAATCCCGATATACCCAGTTCGGTATTGAACGCCGCACCGGGTAAGCAAATCGGGGTCATACGCCCGCTACCTACCACCACAGCCGCACAACAGGCCGCCAACACCGCTAGTGCCACAAACTCCTCGAGTATTTCCAATCAACAGCAATTGCTGCAACAACATATGGAAGCATTGAAGCAGCATAACGTTTATAGCAGCAACTCCACGTCAACAACAACAACAGCCACACATTCCTCAATTTACCACCAAAGCACACCGTCGCTACCACAATCGCAACAACAGCAGCTGACAAGCCGCGAAATTGAAAAGAATCGCATAAATGAAATGAAGAAAACGGGCGCATTAGCCGATGGTGGTGGCCCAACGGCTGGTGGTGTGATGGTCAGCGCGGGCGCCAGCGCCAATGCCAATTCACACGCCGCCGCAGCCGCCAATGCTAGTCTAAATACCGTGATAAATACCAATGCGCCTGGCCACAAGTCCAACGCTGGTATTGGAGCGGGCGCGGCCGCCGGTGCTGCGTCATCAGCATCAAGCACTTCCGGCTTTAATGAGTTAGATGCGGCAGCGCCAGGCGCTAATAATAGCCCCTTATGGGCGTTACGCATTAAACGACAGACACCAAGCGTCGCTGCACAGGAGAACACATCGATGGTATTCAACTTCTCCAATCGCAAAGAGGTGCCCGATTATATCGAGAATGATGGGGTGATCTTTCGCAGAAAACGTGAATTACCCAAGGTGAGTGTAACACAGAGACAAAGAAACGAAAGATATGTATGTGTAGGGGATATGTAGGAGAAGGTAATGGGGGAGAGTAGGGTAATAAGTGAGTGAAGTTGGAGTTGATAGAAATTCAAGAAGTAGAAGCAGTGAAGTTGTGTTTTTTTGTGTGTAAAAAAGCAGCTGCAGAAGAAGTAGCGAGAAACCAAAGTACGAAATGGCAAAGCAAAAGGCAGATGAAGTGAAATGATGTGACGTGACGTGTAAAGTGGAAAAGGAGCAAAGCGTGGATTGCAAAAGAAACGGTATATAAGTGTGTGTGTGTGCATATGTGCATGCAAATGTGAAAGCCATAATGAACAAAAGAAACAAATATGTATATGTATATATAAGAAAATATAAAGAAAATACTTAAGAATTAAAAAAAAAATAAGAAGTATAAAAAATTATGAAATATACATATGTAGATATGTATATAAGATACAAAATATATAAATAGCAACCGCAATAAAAGAACCAAAAGACCAACAAAAAAAGCAAGTCTACTGCAACAGAACGTGCACAAAAGCGAAACAGTGAAGTGAACTCCGCAAT